TCAGTAGCTCAGCATGAGTTAGGCATTGCACTCAACAATACAGCCAAAGCCGCAATACTCGATCGGATCCTCGTCAACAGTCGCTTATGTGCGATGCGGCTCCAAGGGTCTATCAACATCAGTAAGAGAAGCAACACCAAAAGGTGTTTGTTCATCAATTCAGCGTATGCACCAACCAGCTGCAGTTCTGACGCACACCCACCATCGACCAACGATGGCGGTGTTTTTTGACCTGAAAGAAGCCTTCGAGTCAGGTAACCGCGAAGCTTTTTCGAAATAGAATGCCCCAGAAGTACGGTCACTTATTGAGGTCACTATACTCAGATACCTCTGGTCGAGTGAGGATTTATAACAAAGTAGGCCGTTCGTCACCAGCAGCAGCGTTCGTCAAGGGTGTCCCATCTCGTCATTTCTGTTATATTTCCCCGCAGACGAAATTTTGGAAACCGCATTAAGTGGTCTCCAAAACGCAGGTATTGGATGGGCAGCTTGAAAAAAGCTGTGGCACTTAGAATACGCCGATGACATCGTTTCTCTGTTCAAATGTGTGGAGGATGCGCAAAACTCACTTTTATTCCACCCATCTGCTTTCGAGAACAACGTTTCTCTTCTTGGATTGCTTATAATTTCTTCATGCTGGTCTCCGTTTATCGCTCAACTTGCTTCTTGTGTTGCTCACAAGGATGGCTTTTTATTCCTCACCAGACGCTTCCTCACGCCAGCTCATCTTCTGTACAAAGGTCAAATCTTCTTTACTTATATATATATGTACTTATATATATACTTACTTATATATATACATATATATATTACATCGAATTGGCAAATGTGCCACAATATATGAAGAGGGATTAATTATAAATCAACGAAAAGGAGTTTCGCAGCAAGTGTATCGTGGTAGTGTAAATGAACAATGGGATCAGATTAGACGAGCACTGCACTCCGCAGCGAGGTTTACTTGCGTATATGAACCCGTACACCGTCGGAGGCATTGGATGTCTGATAAGTCAGTAGCACTAATGGAGAAAAAGCGGCAAATCCCGATCTTCCGGGATCAAAGCAGGGGTAAGTGGTGTCTGCAACGTCAGATCACGAAAAGACTCAAGAAGGCACGTGAGAACTGGTGGGCAATAACAGCTAGTTAAATGGAAGTAGCAGCGGCATCAGAGAATAGTCAAAGACTGTTCCAAATAGTACGTACCTCAAACCCGCAGTTAGTGTAACAATCTTCGACAAAAGTGGACTGAATGTTCACAAAAGGGAACAACGGCTTGACCGGTGGGTTGAGTACTTGAGCACACAGTTCAGCTGACCAGGCGCTAACCAGACTATATCGTGTGTTTTGGCAGAGACTCCGTTGGCAGTGTCATATGAACCTCATACTGCAGCAGAAGTTCGATCTTGCATCCAAACATCGAAGAAAGGAAAGGCAACAGGATCTGACGGTTTTCCTCTCACTATTTTCAAAATGGGGCCATGAACTCGTAGATTATATT